AACTTCAAAAAAACCTCAATCTGGTAATGTGATAAATTTAGAGAAAAACAAACAACAACAAAACTAATCAACAGAACAGACAAAACAAAACACAAATTTTAAGACTGCTTCCTCTATGGGTATCCTACTCGTACTCTGTGATATCGAACAATCAAATATAAGTACTTCAATGTATCTACTGATGCTGTGATAAATGAAAAACAAAAATAATTAGAATTTTAAAAATCAATTCAGTTTTATTTCCTGTTAAGCCCTATCGCCTCTGCCCAAGACTGGGTTATTTTTGAAGGAAATCCTATATGAAATAATTTTATCAGTAACTATTTCAGTGTGTACCTCCTACAAACTTTTTCTTTTTTTTTTAAAAATATTTATTTTTTAGTTTTCGGCGGACACAACATCTTTGTTTGTATGTGGTGCTGAGGATCGAACCTGGGCCGCACGCATGCCAGGCGAGCACACTACCGCTTGAGCCACATCCCCAGCCCCTCCTACAAACTTTTTCTAACTTTTCTTTCACTACTACCTCCCTTGTGTAGGTTTTTTTTTTCTTTCTTTCTTTTTCTTTTTTGGTACTGGGGATTGAACCCAGGGGCACTTTACCACTGAGCCACACCTAGTCTTTTTTATTCTGAGATTTCACTAACTTGTTTAGGGCCTTTTCAAGTTGCTGAAGCTGGCCTCAAAACTTGTGATCCTCCTGTCTCAGCCTCCTGAATCACTGGGATTACAGGCATGTGCCAATGCACCCACCTTAAGGAGACCTTTAATACGTTTCTCCCTGTTCCGTGACATTTTAAAACTAAAGACACACTACATATTTGTTTACGTATAATATTTATATCTGTACTTATACACAAATATAAATACAAAGAACAAGATCTTTTCATCCCTTAAAGACGGATATTAGCCCCATTAGAAGGAATATAATCTCTATTCGGATGTGTGCTCTGAAACATAAGGACCCTTAAACAATAAGCAAAGCATAATACCATTTTCATTCCTAAAAATGAAATTCAACAGTAACATTTTAATAACTACCTAGTCAACATATGTTTTCAATGTTAAATTATTTCAAGGATATTGCCATGTGCTACACATAATACAACAGGAAATAAAGCGATTCCCATCAAGACTACCTATGCCTGATACACTCATAACCATGTGAGCCCCAGTGATGTATACAATATTTTCTAGAGCTTCTTCTAAAGCACCTGCAACAAACCAAAAGGATGCTACTTAAGAATTCACACTCCTGAGGCCCCAGCCCAGAACCAGAAAGTACCAAAATGTCAGGATCATAGCCATAAAATCAGCATTTATAAACAAACTCTCAAAATAGTGTTCTCACTGTGCCGAAAAGTTGAGAGCACTATTTTTCTTCATTCTTATTCCAGGAAATAGTTCCCAAGAATCAGGAAAAGCAAAGAGATCTTAAATTCTTCATGCCTCTTCCCCATGACTATCTCATATTATTTATCCAATAAAAAAGCAGAACACTCTAAACCAAACTATTTTAACTCTAATGAGGAACATGCTCTGCAGACTTCTGATTTCCCTCTCTGGGCTTGTTTTTACCTTTGCTTGAGTGAGAGCTGCTTTCTTCACCTGAAGCTGAGACTGCAGAAGTTTAAAGTTTTTGGACCAGCCTTCTGTTTTTGAGTCACTGGTCTCTACTCCCAGGTCATCATACAGGGACATCTTTTTAATCTAATGCTGAAAGGGAAGCAGTATGGAGATTAAAAAACATAAAATACAGTAAAGATTCTGAACCTTTTCATGGACAATTAGTGCCATGAAATTTTAGAGGTAAAAGGTCAAGGGTCCTTCAACAAGAGTGGCCAAGACCCCTAATATCACCAAGATTGGGTTCCTAATAATACATGAAACTATACTCATGCAATATTCACAAACAGTCCCGTAGAGTTAATTCTATTAGATCATGTAGTCAAGTAATTCATGAGTAAAATTCTTCAGTTCTACAGAATATAATGAGGTAAGATGGATGTTCAAGATTCATGGCATTATTAAATATACAGCCAATATTTTAACTTTCATCTAAGTTAAATGGCAAAAAGTAGAAACTTTATATAAAAGACCAGCTACCAAGTTGGTTTAGCACAATAAAGAAAAAATTAAAACACATTCCTAGAAAAAAAAGAAAAAGATGAAATATCATTTCACAAATGCTGTAATTTTGTACATTATGATTTCTGAGGGAGTAGATGCACTGTATCTTAAATACTGTGACCTCCTCATAACCAGAGATAATCAATAATCTACATAAGATTGTTGCAATATACAATACCCTTGCAAAACAGAAATTCATAGTAATAACAAGAAATGGTAAGGGTTATACATCGTGTACAACCATAGAAGTGTAAAGTTGTGCTGCAATTGTGTACAATGAATCAAAATTCATTCTGCTGTCATATATACCTAATTAAAATAAATTTTAAAAAAGAAAGGAAAAGAAATAGTAAGGGTTAAGCACTTGCTAAACCTTGTCAGGCCAGGCATATTAAATGTAGTATCAGTACATTTACACTCCCCTACCACATATACGCCTGTTGGAGTTTGAGTTTCCTTTTGGCGAATTCTTACTTCTCAGACCTCCCATTATAGATACTCTAAGAGGCTGCTACCCCAGTGACTTCTCTAACCTTAGTCCACATTGCTTTAGGTGGGGAACAAGGAGCACATAAACTTTTACTGGCTCAGAATGGCTTTTCTGGTCTCAGTACTTTTTTTCCAGATTTCTTTCATTTCTTCATTCATGAACCCTGAAATTACTCAAACTTTCTCCATTTTAATTTTAATTTTTAAACAAGAAGTGTTGAAGCTGGCTTTATTAAAGCAGAGTACATGGGATAAAAATGGAGGCAAATCTATAGATTATCCCCTACTCACCAGCTCAGATGACAGCTGTATCCCCAACAGGGCTGGCCCACTGCTTTCAGAGCCAAAGTCAAAGTTTGGTCATACTTTGACACTAGGCTTAAGGCAGTAAGGCCAAATCAAAAAGTAATGAACTCCATCTCTTGGCAGCTACAGCTGAAATACAATCATGCCTTGAAAGGTGTAAAGGGAATCCCCTGGGGATCTACTTCTAAACCTATTTTAAACTATCCTACTGTAAACTATTTCATGAAAATCAAAATCCAGTGTGTCCCGTCCACTGCTCTACTCCCAGACCAAGATCAATGTCTAACCCAGGACTGAAGAGGTAATTAGGCCAAATGCACACTTTACTTGCAAAGCCCTCCCAATCATCTCCTTAGAGATTTCTGGCCAACAATTACTTTGGCCAGAAGGAAGATCATTGCATCAAATGGCTTCTGGGCTTTTGTTTCAGCTTTTCTTCCAGGTCACCTAGATTTCAAAATTCATTGTTTATAGATACATACCCCTGAACTTTAACAGGGGAAAAAAAAAAAAAAAACAGATCAGAGCAAGGAAAAACAATACCAAATGCCCAACGGTTACCACTGTACTTCTCAAAAAAAAAGAAAACAAAAAACTTACATCAAAAATGACTTTACCTTTCACCTAACTTAATCTTTTGAGCCTTTTTTTATTCACTTGGTTACCAAACTAAAGCCTAATAAATCACGGCCTCATATGTTCCTTTTTATTCTTTTTTTAAAAATATTTTTACTAGTTGTTGATGGACTTTTTTTTTTCTTATTGTGAGGCTGAGAATCAAACCTCACAAAAATCACATGTATGAGGCAAGTGCTCTACCACCAAGCCACAACCCCAACCCCCTTTTTATTCTTGAAATGGCAAGAGAAGACAAATGCAGTCTAAAAAACAAATATAAACAGTAATGCTTTCTGGGAAGTCACAAAGTTATGACCAAAAAAACAAAAAACAAAAAAACGCAACCCAAACCAAACTATACTTTAGATATGTATCTCTCAATATTTCTTCAAAAGAAACACACCTCAGGACAAAAAATCCACACTCTATCATATGTGATTTTTCCCCCTGAATCCCGTTCTCATTATTACCTTGCTTCCTTTTTTTAATATAAATTCATTTACTTAGGTTGAGTACATCTATTTCTTAAGGTGTGTAAGCATTTATGAATATACCATACTTTAACTTTCCCCACTGCAACTACTGAAATGTAAGTGCATTAACAAGACTCTACCAAGACCCAAACTTAATCTAATTAATGTAATATTACTTAGATGACCATAACATATTTATTTCATGAAGTCCAATGCTAAGGAATAAAAAGCAGAACATTTTAACATTTGGATATACTGTAAGAAGCCAAGATCAAATATAAATAAATACAAGTAGCTGGTTTTTATAATTCTTTAAAATATCTACTATTTAGTTCTTGTTTATGGCAGCACTAAGTGTTGATCACTTCATCTTTAAAGTATGTCTCAATTTTTAAAGAAGAAACAATAAACATGTTCCTACCAGAATTAAACAAGAATGACTTTTCAAGATTCCATTTAAGCTGCAAAGTGTTTTTCATAACATGTCCAACTGGCAGGAGACAAGAACATGGAAGAAATCTTCTCAGAAGCATCCCACTTATTTTTTCCAAGTGCATCTTAGAAGTCTTTAGTGACTACTACCCTCACATAAAATTAACTATCCATGATTAATTTTCCTTGAATATAACTAGATATTCACAACACAGCAGTTTTTACATGTTTTGCTGCTTAATGGTTCACACCCATGTGTCTCTTCCTATACAATGAACCCCTGAAAGGTAGGGATTCTTTAACTCTTCATATTTACACCTCCAGCTTATCACCATGCCTAGAACACTGTAAGCACTGTATAAACATTTTATAAGTGTTTCAGAGAATGGAGAGAATATGCCAATTCATCTATTTAAAACAGTAAGATCTACAGATCTGCCTTCTAAGGACACAGGTAAGTAGAATTGGTGTAATAAAACTTAAATTGTATACACAAATTAATGAGAGAAAACTACCATTACCATACAACTAAATAATGAGTGTGGGTCTGAGTTCTGAACACCTAGAGATGTAGGCTTGGTAAGAACAAATTTTTTTTTTAATCACTAAATAAATATTCAAGCATAAAATGAGACTTGCATAAACAAAGCCTGAAGAATATGGCAAATATACACAGAAAGAAACAGAAATAGAAATAAGAAGCATGGTTCACTTTGATGTTCACCCAATATACAACTATAACATGCATCTGTCTCATGTATAGTTTTTATGACTTTTTAAAGAATTTAACAATTTTTCCTATTACTCTTCTTATGCTACACTTGTCACACACTTTAGTATTTTCTATTACTCTGATGCTCTGCTATTACCAAAATAACAGCCCTGAGTATACTACAAACCTCTTAAGAGTCACCTGTAACTTGGGTGTGTAACAAAACAGCCTCCTCTATTTACTATTGTGCAGGATTTGAAGGGTTAGTGATGGAAAGAGGTCTGAAAAATTCATGTGCAGGGAGAAGCTGGAAGTTAATTAAAACAAACCAGATGAAAAAATGCCAGTTTATACAAAGCTACATTTAGGAATGTACAAGGATTTTCTCAATATTCTTTATAAAGGTTCTTTGGTTCCACAGAACCCCACAATCAAAGCTGCTCTTCTCTGTTCATGTTTCTTTTACATCTTGTTTTACTTTTTCATTTTTTCTATCTCACAACCTACTCTCTGTCCTAAACCAGGCAGCATGCAGCACGCTGCTTATTAAACTCTAAAAATAAAACATTATTTGTTTGGGTTACCAACATGTTGCCTCCTATTTTCTACAATTTGTTAACCACTCAAAATGTAGGCAATTTTTTTTCCAGTTAAAACGAGTAACTGAGTTTCACCCTCCACCTGTTGCAGGATGTCAGTGCTCATCTAGCCATCCACTTGAGGAGATGCAGAATCTTGCCCTTATCTAGGAAATCCTAATTCTCCATCCATATGTCTGGCTCCAGCAATAAGAACGAACGCACCTTACTCAAAGGCGCTCCCCTACCGAC